CCCATGTCTCTTCCTTTTGAGAAAACCGTCAGCCATCTCCGTGCTTCAGCTTCCTCCCCCCACCACTCCTGCACACCCCTTTCCTTCCCCCACTCCCTCGCCTTCACCACAACCTCATCCCACAACCTCCCCTCCAACTTCCCGTATGCACACGCACAAGCCACCCAGGTACGCACAAACACCTCGAACGTTCCGGCCATAAAGCCGACCATCCCGTGCCAGTGATCATCCAAAAACACCACCACTGGGAAAAATGACCTTGCGCGACGCGCAGCCCATAGAGAAGCTGATTTTCGGACGCTAATTCATAGAAAATTTGACGTGTGGCACTATGAAGTCCTGTATACCTGCGCGTGGAAGGGGACAGTATGATAGCAATTGCACGGGATGACTATGGAGCGCCGATACGCGGGGGGCTGCAACATGTCCGTGGAGTTGCATTAGTTCGCCTAATGGGACTGTGCTGGATGCAATGCATGGCGCTGGATACTCGGTTGTAAGCTTCGCCTTGGCGTACAAGGTAGCTGTGCTCTGTTCTCGCACCGTCTGCCGCCCCGCAACTCCCCTATTGCTTTTCTTCCCCACTCTTCCCTGAATGCCTCATTCCCGACCTGGACTCGCAGCTTTGGAAACCCAATTTATTGTTAATCGGCAACGCAGCTGATAGCCATCATTCAATGATCGCGGGAGAGATGCGAGGCTGCATTCGCAAGTGCATACTTCCGTGGCACGTTGTGAGACATACCTACGAATGTATGCCTGTTGAACTATGGTGTCATCATCGCGTTATCATCGGGGTTCGATCTTTATCACAGGTATCGACAGCTCGGTCAAGCCGTCACCGCCTGACAGTGAAAGGCAATATCCAGTCTCCCCCCGAATCAGGATGCTCGCGCTTACTCTCCTTTCTCGTCGGTCGCAAGCTCGCCCCTGGAAGATAGGAAAACATCTGGTTCACGAGAGCAACATCATGAGGTACTCTTGGCACAGAACTGAAATCCTCATCGACAACTGTTTTTGTTATTTTTTGTTTTGTTTTAATCATACTGTATTCACTCTATCTAGAGTATGACAGACCCCTAATCCCCGCCGCCTCCGGGCAAGCCGGTTAGATGGCGACGCTCCACTCCTGCTACCCGTCGTCCCCTGCTGACAAAGGAAAGTGAAAAGATTGGTAAGGTAAGGACAAAAGAAAGGAAGAAACCGAAAAGAAAGACTCTCGAACCTCTGTTTTTGTTATTACTGCTACCAATCCGTTATCTGCAAATTTTGTCGGCAAGAACTCTAACAGAGGAATCATCGCGAGGGACCTGCTATGATCCAGAGGGTCATAATTAGAAAGTTGTATATAATTGATTACACATACACGCCGAGGGGTCACGGGAAAGGGACTAGTTGATGTCTAACCTGCCATATCTAGTGTCCACGTCGTACAGACAATAATCGACAATGGCCTAACGGTGGAAATTGCAAATTGCCAGTTCCACCCGAAAGAGGTCGATTTCCTGGTGAGTAGTTGAAGATGGATGGGGATAGCAAACAGGCAGTTATTGATTGGGAGCAAATGTTTACGGAAGTGGGCATACTGCGGGCCACAAAATGCCCCACCGCACCACGCACTCTGCTTATATATACCTTGGAAGATGATATTGGCGTTCCTGCAAACACTGAATTGAAGGAACCTGAATCATAGTAAAGCAGTCTAAATCTTCACAGGCCTCCGCAACCTCTACCGACGATTCATTGGGAACGACTCCGGCGTCATAAAACCCAATACGGCCACTCTTAAGAAAACAAGCAGATCTACTCCTGCCCGCAGCCTCCCGAATCCATCATCTTCGGCGATTTAGAACAATGTCATCTTCATACCCAACCGCTTACTTTCAAACTCCTAGGTTCCCAAGTGTGCGATGGAGAGGTGGGACAATTGATTTAGGGAATTGAATAATTTGTTCATCGCTTTCAAAAGCACTGCGAGAGACGACAAGGATGGAAGCCCTATCGATGTTGGCATTGAGCTCATTCACTCTTCTTGAATGCAGCGCGACACGGAACAGAGCGAATGGAAAACATACCCCCCATAAGTCTTGGCAAAAACAGAAACGGCGAAGTAAGTCAACAACCACGATAGTAATCGACAAGAGGACACCGGCAATCGACCTTTAGCATCGAATTAACCCCGGAGCGGTACTCCCAGCAACTCTGGACCGCCAGAGGAGATTGGACACTCACAGCAGCAGAGCGCGCACAGAGCACGCACGCGACGGACGCGACGCGACGACCGAAGACCCAGTGACGATGGCGACCCCGAGGGGAGAGAGCCCTGCTGGAGGCACAATCGAGAAGCTAGCGACTGAGGAAGATAGGCATATGAAGATGGGAGAAGTAGGACAGACGAATGACTTGGTAGGCGACGCGTCGGGAGAGGCACGCGTCATCACGGAAGGTACGACCCCAAGCGAGCCTCCGATGCGAAACGAGAACGGGAAACGACGGAGAAATGAGACTCCCGAGGAATCGAGCGCGCCTGGGGACTGGAGAAGCCGAATGGAAAGAACGATCAGGCAGCAGGCACGTGAGGTGGCACAGCTGCACCGCACCGTCGAGAACTTGGTAAAAGCAATGGAGACACATGCAGCCCGCGAGGAAGTGCAGTGGATCGGCATGAGAGCATGGTTGGAAGAGAGAGAAAGCAAGTGGGATGCCCGCCATGAGGATGACGTACTGTGGGGGACGGGCATCACAACCATGGTCACGATGGTTCTGGCGGAGACAGCACCAGGCCAGAGGAAACCAGAGGCCGACAACGGACTGGAGGCCTCGAAACACGCAGACGCAGGCACGATAGCGCAACAAGAGCGAGAACCGAAGCAGCGGCAAGCCGAACTGCAACCGAAACCGCAGCAGCAGCCGACGAAGCCGACGACGCTGACCCTAATCTCGGCCTCGACCTCGGCCCCGACTCCGACTCCGACCCCGACCCCAATTCCAGCACCGGCACTGACAACAAAGCCAACACCGACGAGACGGTGGGAGACAGTCCCACCGCGTAATCAGGGGAAAGCTACGACAGCCAAGGCCGTCACGTCTGAGGGAGCGACCACGAGCATGCCATCCCCAGCCATCAATCCGGATTGTTCTCCGTCTTGTCGGTCTGATACTTTAATGCTGTGCCCTCAGCGCTGTTGTGTGAATTGCATCGCTTCTGTATATGTCGATGGGTATTGTAGGTGCAAGTGCTAATGCTATCAACGATTCCGCGTAGGTAACGTGATTGCAATTGATCCGTGGTGGATATGTGTAGTATTCATTTGTTGAGAGACGGTTATTATCACCATAATTGTATGTATGGGTGCAGGAGTTTTAGTAGTAGCTACCTGTGAGCTGAAACTTACCGTTGCTCCTTAGTTAACTTTTATCCGCGTGCTTCATGTCCGAGCAATCGCATCGCCGCAGTGGGCGGTTCTTTGATCAATATGATCATTGTGATCGCGATGAGCGATAGGATTGCGATGGGCATTCCTATATCAGTTTCAGTCTCCTCGTCAGGAACTGAGCATGTTTATATGACGTCACTCTCGCCTGGTCGTGCAGGTGTTGACGCCAGTAGACTGATGTCACTGCTCGGGGCTTAGTCCGGCGAGTCTCGAAGTCATTCGGGGGCATGGCCGGAGCCTTCCCGGATGTCGAGCCGAGAACACCGGCCTGTTGACTAGGGATTTGGCCCGGTGGCTTCGGGCATGAGGCCGGTGGCTCGCCTGCCCCCATCGGCCACGCGTGCCCCCACGCTGAGGAGGAGCGCTCGGCGCTGATACTCGGCTCCGGCTTTGGCAGTCGGCATGGAGTTTTCCTCTTCTCTCTTTTGTATAAAAGTGTACTGTTCTCCTTCTTCTGGATCGGTACACAATTCATTCTTTCTTGGTTTCATCAGCAGGGAGACTTCGATGACTATTGGCATCGGTACCGCGATGGGCGGAATCTCCAGTGCGGCCGTGAGTTAAAGGCATCTTACCCTCACCCTTGCACTGCTTGTGCGGTCGTGATTTTCCCTCTCACCCGTTCCACCGATCTTTTCATCGATCTCATCGACATGTGTTTTCTCTTGTGGTAATGAAAGTATGTTTGATTTATCGTTTCAGATGTCTCGTCAGGTCGTCCTTCCGCCGTCGGGAAATGGTAGTTCATGTGCGTACCCGGCCGTTGATTTTAGGCCGCCGACCTCCACCGGTCAGCCTGTCTCCTTTGGAGACCATCTTCGACCTTGTCTCGACCGCTGAGTCCATCCCAGACTCCGCCTTCCCTCGCTCCAAGCCTCGCGCATGCTGGGTCAAGTCTCTCGACGCTCAGTGGGCCAATCTCCGGGCCCAGGAAGCCGCCTCTGCTTTCTGTGGTGCCTCCTCCTCCTCCTCCTCCTCCGACGCCCCGTCTCACCCCGAAGCCGTCGACATCTTCGGTCAGCGCCGATAGGACCTTATCTTCATCCCTGCCTCTGCGGACTCCTCCAACTGGGCTAATCTGGTACCCCTGAAGGCCTCACCGGAACTTCCCCCTCGCTTCGTCTTCCACCTCCCCACTCGCCTTTCACGTCCGCCCGCGTGAAAAATTCCAACTCCATGGCCTTCTTCGCCCTTCTCGTCACCCTCTTT